GCCAGAAACTCTTCTGAAACTCGTCAGTCTATTCTTGTTCTGAAAAATTAAGGCTATTCCATGCGAGAAATTGCCAAGAAACTGAATATCTCGTACAACGCTGTGTACTACTCCCTTCACAGAACAGCGCAAACTGTCTCTAACCAGAATAGAAAGAGGAGTGGGCGGCCCCGGTGCACAACTGAGCAAGAGGACAAATACATTAGAGTGTCTAGTTTGAGAAACAGACGCCTCACAGGTCCTCAACTGTCAACAGTGAAGAGGCGACTCTGGGATGCTGGTCTTCTAGGCAGAGTTGCAAAGAAAAAGCCATATCTCAGACTGGCCAATAAAAATAAAAGATTAAGATTGGATTAACAAACACAACGTGCCATTGGAACACAGGACTGATGGTTGCTGATAATCGGCCTCTGTACGCCTATGTAGCCGTTTCCAGCTACAATATCCATTTACAACATTAACAATGTCTACACTGTATTTCTGATCAATTTGATGTTATTTTAATGGACAAAAATATTGCTTTTCTTTCAAAAACAAGGACATTTCTAAGTGACCCCAAACTTTTGAACGGTAGTGTATATAATATATAATGCAAGAATCATGTAGTAATACTGTAATGACTTTCTCTACATCAGGGGGATTTGCATTCCTTCCGTTCCTGTGGCTGGTGAATGTGGTGTGGTTTTTCAAAGAGGCCTTTGTAAAGCCAACATATACTGAACAACTCCAGATCAAAACATGTGAGTGTCAATCAGCCAATCAGAGTATATGTACACAGAGAAAGTGCTGTGAATTAATATAGCTAAAGATTCCTGTACAAATTATTAGAAGTCCAGGTTTCTTGTGGCTCATCCACATACTGGATAAATAATACATTTATGTTACAGGTTGTGTGTCTTATGAGATGTAGGCCTATGGTCCATGAGATAAGATGATCTAGCTAAAACAAAGTTGGCTTTGTATTAGTTTAACATTAGTTTAAGTATCAGTGAAAGCATGCAGTTTCTATGCAAACATGACTACAATAGATTACATCTCTCTTTCAGATGTAAAGCGATCAGGGCTGGGGTTGCTACTGTGGGTTGCAGTACTCACCACATGGATAACCATATTCCAACACTTCAGAGCAGAATGGGGTGAGGTGGGCGACTACCTCTCCTTCACCATTCCACTTGGCATTCCCTGAGACAGACAAGGCAGGAAACAAGAAAGCTTCCTCAGTCCACTCTTTGTCACTGATGGACCACTCATACGCACCAAATCATGTCCCATATACTGTAGCTAGAACTATTCTCATTAGGCTAAAACTGTACCGCCAATTCATTAAATTCTAAATGAAACGGAAGTGTATGCCTTTTTTTATTTGTTGTAATAAAGTATTGAGCTTACAGTGGGGAAAAAAAGTATTTAGTCAGCCACCAATTGTGCAAGTTCTCCCACTTAAAAAGATGAGAGGCCTGTAATTTTCATCATAGGTACACATCAACTATGACAGACAAAATGAGAAAAAAAAAAATTGTATTCAGAAAATCACATTGTAGGATGTTTAATGAATTTATTTGCAAATTATGGTGGAAAATAAGTATTTGGTCACCTACAAACAAGCAAGATTTCTGGCTCTCACAGACCTGTAACTTCTTCTTTAAGAGGCTCCTCTGTCCTCCACTCGTTACCTGTATAAATGGCACCTGTTTGAACTTGTTATCAGTATAAAAGACACCTGTCCACAACCTCAAACAGTCACACTCCAAACTCCACTATGGCCAAGACCAAAGAGCTGTCAAAGGACACCAGAAACAAAATTGTAGACCTGCACCAGGCTGGGAAGACTGAATCTGCAATAGGTAAGCAGCTTGGTTTGAAGAAATCAACTGTGGGAGCAATTATTAGGAAATGGAAGACATACAAGACCACTGATAATCTCCCTCGATCTGGGGCTCCACGCAAGATCTCACCCTGTGGGGTCAAAATGATCACAAGAACGGTGAGCAAAAATCCCAGAACCACACGGGGGACCTAGTGAATGACCTGCAGAGAGCTGGGACCAAAGTAACAAAGCCTACCATCAGTAACACACTACGCCACCAGGGACTAAAATCCTGCAGTGCCAGACGTGTCCCCCTGCTTAAGCCAGTACATGTCCAGGCCCGTCTGAAGTTTGCTAGAGCGCATTTGGATGATCCAGAAGAGGATTGGGAGAATGTCATATGGTCAGATGAAACCAAAATATAACTTTTTGGTAAAAACTCAACTCGTTGTGTTTGGAGGACAAAGAATGCTGAGTTGCATCCAAAGAACACCATACCTACTGTGAAGCATGGGGGTGGAAACATCATGCTTTGGGTCTGTTTTCTGCAAAGGGACCAGGACGACTGATCCGTGTAAAGGAAAGAATGAATGGGGCCATGTATCGTGAGATTTTGAGTGAAAACCTCATTCCATCAGCAAGGGCATTGAAGATGAAACGTGGCTGGGTCTTTCAGCATGACAATGATCCCAAACACACCGCCCGGGCAACAAAGGAGTGGCTTCGTAAGAAGCATTTCAAGGTCCTGGAGTGGCCTAGCCAGTCTCCAGATCTCAACCTCATAGAAAATCTTTGGAGGGAGTTGAAAGTCCGTGTTGCCCAGCGACAGCCCCAAAACATCACTGCTCTAGAGGAGATCTGCATGGAGGAATGGGCCAAAATACCAGCAACAGTGTGTGAAAACCTTGTGAAGACTTACAGAAAACGTTTGACCTGTGTCATTGCCAACAAAGGGTATATAACAAAGTATTGAGAAACTTTTGTTATTGACCAAATACTTATTTTCCACCATAATTTGCAAATAAATTCATTAAAAATCCTACAATGTGATTTTCTGGAGAAAAAAATGTCTATTTTTGTCTGTCATAGTTGACGTGAACCTATGATGAAAATTACAGGCCTCTCTCATTTTAAGTGGGAGAACTTACACAATTGGTGGCTGACTAAATACTTGTTTCCCCCACTGTAGATGCTGGATTGTGGTTTAGTGTGCATTTTATTAGAAATTTGGCTCATATGGATATTATGAGTAATATGATGGCTATGTGCATAGCTTTGGATAACAATATCCAATTGGCTTTGTGTTTAATATGTGAGTATTTGTAACACTGAGTGCTCATGATGACAACATACTTTTCCCAGATAATTAATTCATAGGCTCCTTTGTGCTCTCACAGTGTAAACAATTCCAACAGTGATGAGATATTAGCCAGTAAAGTACTTTATGATTGCAGCGATATATGATTTTTAAGTGCTTAACTGAGCTCCGCCTCTGGCCAATCTCTTAGGCGCCTATTATGAAACTCAATCTCTCTGTAGCAAATGTCCCCCCCCCCACCTTCAGGATTATGGTTGGTGCCATTTTTAGGTACTCCGAGTCAAAGACTCTACTTCTATTACCAACCGACGCCATGGCAGGAAGGGAACGTCATCCCACCACCTACAGTACTTAACACATGTCCTTTGTGTCTGCCAGGGTTGTATAAGTCACACGGCTGTCTGCTCTAAATGGGGTCCTGGGGCAGTTGATGTAAACCCAAATCAGATGTGTGTGACGGATGGTCATAAGGTACCCAATCGATGAGGTGCTAAGACCTGTGACATACTGGAGGCTTATATGACATTGTTGTGGATGTGGTGTCAGTGTAATTGTAGAACATGATGTTCACTCTGCATGTCATGATGACCTAATTGTTATATGGTCGTTTTAATAGCCCCCATTCCTCTCCAGGACAAAGTGGCTCAGAGAAACTTGCCAACATTAATCACAGATTTGTTCATCCCTCTCTTTGGGATTTCTATCTCTGTATAAATTATAGAATTAATACAAATATTGAATAATTTTTATTTCGAATATAAATATTTCCAAATAAAGCCAATGTGGTTAAAGATTTGTGTGTTCAACACCTGCTTCACATTGATCAAAAGTTAATTACATAAACAATTTAACAGAAACATCTGAAGTATGTAGACCTATAGGAGAAACATTGTAACATCTTTAACATTCCTGTGTTTGGGAAAATATTGTTACAGGGTGTGACATTGACAATGTTTGTGACCTTGTCCAACCTCTGTTTAATAAACTGAGGTAAACATTGATTTACCATGCACCAATTGATAACCGGGGATAAGGACAGTTTATGCAGTGTAGGACTAATGGATATCATCATTCCAATTAAGCCTGTCAGAAAATACAATCATTAAAATATCAGAAAGAAATTGTTCTGGAGGGGTTTTCAAGGAATCTGTACCAGCAATTATTGAGCAGTCCAGTCCGTTATGAAGTGTATCCCAAGAAGGAAGAGGCTGAACTGTTGCCTGGCAGAACACGGTATTGAGATTACCGCTATTGGCAGTGTTGAATGCCAATTGCCAAATCACCAAAAGGGGCTCCACCAGCGCTCTCAGCAGGTGTCAAGGAAAACAACCATGTAAGGGTTCATTCAAAAGGTGCATGAGATGGAAACATTCCTATTATCACACGTGCACTGGCATGTGAATATTGCCACGTTCAGGTAGTAGTCGGAACTAGGAAACTCTGAAATTCCCGACTTGCTAACTGGTTGTAGTTATACAAGTGCCGCATTCAACCAGTTTACATAATGAGGCGGGAACTATTCGCTGTGGGGCACCTTGCATTGCTTTGGATTAACCACCAGACCCCCTGGGAATTATAGTTTTGTTTTAGTTGTTATCAAAGGCTTCGATAGCACAGGGACCGCCCTTGAGGAATACTCCTCCCTATCATACGAAGAATCGTTACCATATTCTCCTTTAAAATCATATATACTTTTTAAACTGTTACAATTCTCATTCAAAATCATATAGCTTTTTAATTTAATTCTAGATAATTTTTATGCATTATACAATTTCACTTTCTCAGAGTCTGTTGCTGTATCTGATCATTACTTTCCGGGATTGTCTGTCTAAAAATAACATTAAAGGGGTGAACGCCCCCCAGTGCATCCGTGCCAGACAGTCACAGCAGTGACAGTAAAGGGTGTAGGCCTAAAGGGACATATGCCGCGTTCAAGTGCCAGTCAGAATTAGGAAACTCGGAAATTTCCGACTTGCTAACTACTCCTGCTATCATAAATACAGACCATAACTGGCAGGTCCACAGTTTATGCCACAGAAAAGGGCACAGAGTCACAGACACACGGACGCAGCAATCCATCCTTTTGGCAGTCAGAACCTAATAGGACTTGCAGGCATCTCATAACGGTAAGTGCGAATGCATCTGCATCTCAGACGGGATTTTACACTGTGACCTTTCCCAGCAACAATTTGAAAGGTATTTGAGGGTCAAGCGGATTCTGTATTATTTACTGCAATATTCCAGATTTGACAAGGACTATAAAAACCATCGCTGTAGCCTTTACGAATCAATCCCGTTCTGAACCTCAGCAGTGAAGCAGCTGGTAAATTATGGTTTAATTATTTATTGCTTCCTTCTATACACTTCTATTAGGCTAATATTTTCTCGAATAGACCTGCATTTATTGGACTATAATTTTACCCATATGCTATTTCTTCCCTGTGGCCTAGAATATTCGTAACATCCCCGGCCAATACAGGTGTGAAAGGCTGTAGTAATCGTCTGTGCATATTTTCTTTTTACCTCAGACGCGAAATGGACTTCGATCTGCCACCCACTTTTCCAGCCAGCGGTATCGCATGGGAGAGGGTCCTGCCGCCTCTTCTTCCAGGGCTGAACGGGACATTCGGGTTGTACTCATTCACGCCGTCGGAGCTGCTCACCCCAGTGACGGAGCACACTGGCTCTGCACAGGTAGGCTTATTCCCGTTGCAGTGCTCTAGTCTCTCACAGATACATTTCTTTGTTCTGTATCACTGAGGTCGCCTTGATTAATGAATTGTATTTTCTATATTCTACTGACCTTTTTAATGAATGCCCATTTACTGCAGGTGCTCTTGCGTTTTCTTATCGTTTGAATGGAATTTCATAAAAGTAGATTAAACAGCAGCAAAAGAGCAGCAATAGCGTGTCATTTTGAGTAGTAATAGTGGGTATCTTCCCCTGTTGCCAGGTGTGTTGTGACCACAGTGGATTCACAGTTCAGGTTGATGTGAAACACTTCAACCCAGAGGAGCTGATGGTCAAGGTGATGGGAGACTTTGTGGAGGTCCAAGGGAAACACAAAGAGAAAAAAGTAAGCAACTACTGTGTTATATGTATTATGTAAGAGTTGTTCTCTGTTCATAATCACACTTCCATAGTTTATGTGATGACAGACATTGAATATAGCCTGGTTGCTATGCAGTCTGTTTCTGCTTCAGCCAACTACCGACCAAACAGACTGGAAACCAGGCCACTTGTTAGCCTGAAAACGAGTATTCCTCACTGACTGTGTTCACTATAACGTGTGTTTGCAGGATGGGTCAGGGCTGGTGACGCGTCAGTTCAGCCGCCGCTACAGGATTCCAGAGGGAGTGGACTCCATGGCTCTGGAGTCAGCTGTGTCGCCTGAAGGCATCCTCATCATATCTGCCCCTATGCTTCAGGGGGAGAACTCCAGACACCTGTCCCACTCAGAACCATGAGCATACACGCCATAGGAACCAGTGTTGGGGAGTAGTAAACTACATGTAGTTCAACTAGTAATTTAACTACATTTTGCAGTAGCTTTAGTGGCAGTTCAGATCTTGGTAGTAATTAACTACTTTTTTTGCCATGTGGTGTAGCTAACTACTGGAACTACACACTACATTTTTTTTCAAATAGAAAATAAAATATGGGTGAAGTAGGCTTTTCCTTTATTTTTCAGCATTACCCCTTTCTAATTCTCACTTAAAACAGTTTTGTGTTTAATATGCTAAATTACACATTCTGTTAACATCTTACTCCAGAGAGATCTGTTCTTGCAATTTGTAGTCTATGACATTCAGATTTAAATATTATAATTTATCACAAAGTAGTTTTCTATGTAGTGAACAATTTTTTCAAATTAACTTTAGTTAAAGAAAACAAATGTTTTCTTAAGGGTAACTTTAGTGTAGCTTAACTTCTTCCAGTGTGAAGTAATTGGTAGCTTGGAAAACTATATGTTCACACACACACACCTTTAATTACATGCCAAGGATCACACAACAACAGCTAGGGAAACACTGATAGGAACCCACCATGGAGAGAAAACGTTTTAAAAAAGTTCTCAATGGAACCCAACACACACACACACACACACACACATAGCTTGGGAAACTGACTGACAAACCAAATAAGGATAGTGGCAAAAATACAGGCACGCTCTCCTGCAACAGACATATAATCAAACACTCACCAAGGAGCTGGTGCCTACCTGCGCCAAAACACCCGTTAACTACGCCATCACACCATTAAGATTGCACTCTCTGAGATTTGTACATATTAACAGGACAGATTCCTAATTTAAAAGCATCCATCGTCCTAAATAATCCCATTGAACTCATCAATCTTAATGTTTTATGGAACCATTCATTGTAAATATGATAACACCATTGAAAATGTTTATTTGTATTGTGTACTTTCTAATGCCCTCTAAATCGTGTGTAAATGTTTTAACACTCAGAGATTATCGAGTATGTTCACAAAACCCAACAGTAAGGTTGTTGTATATTTTCTAACTATTTATTGTAAAAAGAGAATTTGTTAACAAAAATAAATACACTATATATTTCTGTACAAAAATGAAAATAAAAAATGCTGTTGAATTGAATGTTGTTTTTGTTCCGTGTGTGCTAGCCACCAGTGATCACTCTTCCTGGAATTCAACCAACAGTGAGTCCACCTCGCTGAAAAAAATAAATATATTATATCACTCTAGGAACCATTTGTCTGCAATATGAGAACAACATTAAAAAATTTTACTCCAAAGACAAAACAATCAGTATAACACATCATGATTGAACTATACAGTGCATTCGGAAAGTATTCAGACCCTTTGACTTCTTCCAAATGTTTTACATTACAGCTTTATTCTAAAATTGATTCAATTGTTTTTTTCCTCATCAATCTACACACAATACCCCATAATGACGAAGCAAAAACTGGTTTTTAGAAATGTTAGCAAATGTATTAAAAATAAAAAACTGAAATATCACATATACATACGTATTCAGACCCTTTACTCAGTACTTTGTTGAAGCACTTTTGGCAGCGACTACAGCCTCAAGTCTTTTTGGGTATGACGCTACAAGCTTGGCACACCTGTACTTGGGGAATTTCTCCCATTCTTCTCTGCAGATCCTCTCAATATCTGTCAGGTTGGATGGGGAGCGTAGCTGCACAGCTATTTTCAGGTCTTTCCAGAGATGTTAGATCGGGTTCATGTCCACTTAAGGACATTATCTTGGCTGTGTGGTTCGGGTCATTGTCCTGATCTAAAAACCTGTTTTCGCTTTGTCATTATGGGGTATTGTGTGTAGATTGATGAGGAAATTGTTTTATTTAATCCATTTTAGAATAAGGCTGCAATGTAACAAAATGTGGAAAAAGTCAAGGGGTCTGAATACTTTCCGAAGGCACTGTATACAGTGCCTTCAGAAAGTATAATTATCCCTGGACTTATTTCACATTGTTGTGTTACAGCCTGAATTCACAATTGATGAAATATATATTTTTTCTCACCCATCTATGTTTTTAGAAATTATTGTACATTTATTGAAAATGAAATACAGAAATCTCATTTACATAAGTATTCACACCCCTGAGTCAATACTTTGTAGAAGCACCTTTGGCAGCGATTACAGCTGTGAGTCTTTTTGGGTAAATCTGTAAGAGCTTTTCACACCTGGATTGTGCAACATTTGACCATAATTCTTTTCAAAATTTTTCAAGCTCTGTCAAATTGGTTGTTGATCATTGCTAGACAACCATTTTCAGGTCTTGCCTTAGATTTTCAAGTAGATTTAAGTCAAAACTGTAACTCGGTCACTCAGGAACATTCACAGTCTTCTTGGTATGCAACTCCAGTGTAGTCTTGCTGACATGTGAATTAATCTCCCAGTGTCTGGTGGAAAGCAGACAACCAGCTTTTCCTCTAGGATTTTGCCTGTTTAGCTCCATTCCGTTTATTTTTTATCCTGAAAAACTCCCCAGTCCTTAACGATTACAAGCATACCCATAACATGATGCAGGCACCACTATGCTTGAAAATATGGAGAGTGGTACTCAGTAAAACGTTTATTTCTTTGACACATTTTTTTCAGTATTACTTTAGTGCCTTGTTGCAAACAGGATGCATGTTTTGGTATATTTGTATTCTGTACAGGCTTCCTGCTTTTCACTCTGTCAATTAGGTTAGTATTGTGGAGTAATTACAATGTGGTTGATCCATCCCCAGTTATCTCCTATCACAGCCAATAACTCTGCTACTGTTTTAAAAAGTCACCATTGGCCTCATGGTGAAATCCCTGAGCGGTTTCCTTCCTCTCCGGCAACTGAGTTAGGAAGGACGCCTGTATCTTTGTAGTGACTGTGTGTATTGATACACCATCCAAAGTGTAATTCATAACTTTACCATGCTCAAAGGGATTTTCAATGCTGCTTTTTTTTACCCATCTACCAATAGGTGCTCTTCTTTGCGAGGCATTGAAAAACCTCCCTGGCCTTTGTGGTCGAATCTGTGTTTGAAATTCACTGCTCGACTGAGGGACCTTAAAGATAATTGTATGTGTGGGGTACATACAGTGGGGAAAAAAAGTATTTAGTCAGCCACCAATTGTGCAAGTTCTCCCACTTAAAAAGATGAGAGAGGCCTGTAATTTTCATCATAGGTACACGTCAACTATGACAGACAAATTGAGGAAAGAAAATCCAGAAAATCACATTGTAGGATGTTTAATGAATTTATTTGCAAATTATGGTGGAAAATAAGTATTTGGTCAATAACAAAAGTTTCTCAATACTTTGTTATATACCCTTTGTTGGCAATGACACAGGTCAAACGTTTTCTGTAAGTCTTCACAAGGTTTTCACACACTGTTGCTGGTATTTTGGCCCATTCCTCCATGCAGATCTCCTCTAGAGCAGTGATGTTTTGGGGCTGTCGCTGGGCAACACGGACTTTCAACTCCCTCCAAAGATTTTCTATGGGGTTGAGATCTGGAGACTGGCTAGGCCACTCCAGGACCTTGAAATGCTTCTTACGAAGCCACTCCTTCGTTGCCCGGGCGGTGTGTTTGGGATCATTGTCATGCTGAAAGACCCAGCCACATTTCATCTTCAATGCTCTTGCTGATGGAAGGAGGTTTTCACTCAAAATCTCACGATACATGGCCCCATTCATTCTTTCCTTTACACGGATCAGTCGTCCTGGTCCCTTTGCAGAAACACAGCCCCAAAGCATGATGTTTCCACCCCCATGCTTCACAGTAGGTATGGTGTTCTTTGGATGCAACTCAGCATTCTTTGTCCTCCAAACACGTCAAGTTTTATTTTGGTTTCATCTGACCATATGACATTCTCCCAATCTTCTTCTGGATCATCCAAATGCACTCTAGCAAACTTCAGACGGGCCTGGACATGTACTGGCTTAAGCAGGGGGACACGTTTGGTACTGCAGGATTTGAGTCCCTGGCGGCGTAGTGTGTTACTGATGGTAGGCTTTGTTACTTTGGTCCCAGCTCTCTGCAGGTCATTCACTAGGTCCCCCCCGTGTGGTTCTGGGATTTTTGCTCACCGTTCTTGTGATCATTTTGACCCCACGGGGTGAGATCTTGCGTGGAGCCCCAGATCGAGGGAGATTATCAGTGGTCTTGTATGTCTTCCATTTCCTAATAATTGCTCCCACAGTTGATTTCTTCAAACCAAGCTGCTTACCTATTGCAGATTCAGTCTTCCCAGCCTGGTGCAGGTCTACAATTTTGTTTCTGGTGTCCTTTGACAGCTCTTTGGTCTTGGCCATAGTGGCGTTTGGAGTGTGACTGTTTGAGGTTGTGGACAGGTGTCTTTTATACTGATAACAAGTTCAAACAGGTGCCATTAATACAGGTAACGAGTGGAGGACAGAGGAGCCTCTTAAAGAAGAAGTTACAGGTCTGTGAGAGCCAGAAATCTTGCTTGTTTGTAGGTGACCAAATACTTATTTTCCACCATAATTTGCAAATAAATTCATTAAACATCCTACAATGTGATTTTCTGGATTTTCTTTCCTCAATTTGTCTGTCATAGTTGACGTGTACCTATGATGAAAATTACAGGCCTCTCTCATCTTTTTAAGTGGGAGAACTTGCACAATTGGTGGCTGACTAAATACTTTTTTTCTCCACTGTAGATGAGGTAGTCATTCAAAAATCATGCTAAACACTATTATTACTGTCTGCTAAATGGCATATTATTATTATATATTATATTATTATTATTGCACACAGATTGAGTCCATGCAATTTATTATGTGACTTGTTAAGCAAATGTTTACTGTTGAACATATTTAGGCTTGCCACAACAAAGGGGTTGAATACTTATTGACTCAAGACATTTTTCAGCTTTTAATTTTTCAGTAATTTGTAAAGATTTCTAACAACATAATTCCACTTTGACACTATGGGGTATTGTGTAGGCCAGTGACAAAAACAAATCTCAATTTAATCCATTTTAAATTCAGGCTGTAACACAAAATGTGGAAAAAGTCAAGAGGTGTAAATACTTTCTGAAGGCACTGTAATTACTCTGAAAATATATTAAGTTAATTATCTTAATGACTAAAGGAAAGGTCAATGAAATAAATGATGAAGGATGTACTGCATCTAGGGAACATATCCCAGTTCTTTACCTGATTTGCTCCTTCACCCACTTCTTCTGCTGCCTCAAGACCTTCAGTAAGGGGTCATCTTTGAACTCCTGCTCATCTGAATCTTAAGGGGGAAAAGATATGCAGTTGAAATGTCACTGTGCAGATAACAAAAATAACTTTAGGAGCAGTTGATTACATGACCAATTATTTTTGTTCTAACTTTAGCTACTTTGCAGCAAAGCTATGCCAGGTGTTCATAATATGTTATATTAGATCACATGTTAATTGTACACTGGTATAAATAGCCAGAAATGTACACATGAACACCAGCAAGGTGAAGGGAAAATAGACAACTGGCACTGGTCCACACGGTTAATGTACTCCTGTAACAGAGAGGACTATGGCATCACTCAATTGTTATGCCTCCCTTTACATTTACCAAAAGATCCCTTTAGCATTCAGGGCAACATCCTAACTTATTATTTAGAGTAAGTAATGCATGTATATGAATGGGATATTCGGGAGAAAGTTCAAGTTAGGATTCAGTCCTGGTGGAACTTGGAATGCTATATACAGTGGGGGGAAAAAGTATTTAGTCAGCCACCAATTGTGCATGTTCTCCCACTTAAAAAGATGAGAGAGGCCTGTAATTTTCATCATAGGTACAAGTCAACTATGACAGACAAATTGAGAAAAAGAAATCCAGAAAATCACATTGTAGGATTTTTTATGAATTTATTTGCAAATTATGGTGGAAAATAAGTATTTGGTCACCTACAAACAAGCAAGATTTCTGGCTCTCACAGACCTGTAACTTCTTCTTTAAGAGGCTCCTCTGTCCTCCACTCGTTACCTGTATTAATGGCACCTGTTTGAACTGACACCTATAAAAGACACCTGTCCACAACCTCAAACAGTCACACTCCAAACTCCACTATGGCCAAGACCAAAGAGCTGTCAAAGGACACCAGAAACAAAATTGTAGACCTATACCAGCCTGGGAAGACTGAATCTGCAATAGGTAAGCAGCTTGGTTTGAAGAAATCAACTGTGGGAGCAATTATTAGGAAATGGAAGACATACAAGACCACTGATAATCTCCCTCGATCTGGGGCTCCACGCAAGATCTCACCCCGTGGGGTCAAAATGATCACAAGAACGGTGAGCAAAAATCTAGTGAATGACCTGCAGAGAGCTGGGACCAAAGTAACAAAGTCTACCATCAGTAACACACTACGCCGCCAGGGACTCAAATCCTGCAGTGCCAGACGTGTCCCCCTGCTTAAGCCAGTACATGTCCAGGCCCGTCTGAAGTTTGCTAGAGTGCATTTGGATGATCCAGAAGAGGATTGGGAGAATGTCATATGGTCAGATGAAACCAAAATAGAACTTTTTGGTAAAAACTCAACTCGTCGTGTTTGGAGGACAAAGAATGCTGAGTTGCATCCAAAGAACACCATACCTACTGTGAAGCATGGGGGTGGAAACATCATGCTTTGGGGCTGTTTTTCTGCAAAGGGACCAGGACGACTGATCCGTGTAAAGGAAAGAATGAATGGGGCCATGTATCGTGAGATTTTGAGTGAAAACCTCCTTCCATCAGCAAGGGCATTGAAGATGAAACGTGGCTGGGTCTTTCAGCATGACAATGATCCCAAACACACCGCCCGGGCAACGAAGGAGTGGCTTCGTAAGAAGCATTTCAAGGTCCTGGAGTGGCCTAGCCAGTCTCCAGATCTCAACCCCATAGAAAATCTTTGGAGGGAGTTGAAAGTCCGTGTTGCCCAGCGACAGCCCCAAAACATCACTGCTCTAGAGGAGATCTGCATGGAGGAATGGGCCAAAATACCAGCAACAGTGTGTGAAAACCTTGTGAAGACTTACAGAAAACATTTGAACTGTGTCATTGCCAACAAAGGGTATATAACAAAGTATTGAGATACTTTTGTTATTGACCAAATACTTATTTTTCACCATAATTTGCAAATAAATTCATTAAAAATCCTACAATGTGATTTTCTGGATTTTTTTCCCTCATTTTGTCTGTCATAGTTGACGTGTACCTATGATGAAAATGACAGGCCTCTCTCATCTTTTTAAGTGGGAGAACTTGCACAATTGGTGGCTGACTAAATACTTTTTTCCCCCACTGTATACTGTACTATACGGCCAGAGTCTATTCCACCTCTGCTACCTAGAGAGTTAAGGTCAGCAGTCCCCACTGCACCAGGCAGTCTCACCTTCAGCATCCTGCAGCAGCTGAGCTACGACCTCCCGTGGCTGCTGTGCACTGGGAGGCGGGGCGGGGGACTGTGGGGTCGCAGGGGGGGTGTATCTGGGAGAGTCAGAGGACACAGGGGTTCTGGGTGGGTCTGGGGAGTCCGGGGTCAGGAACAGTACCTCTGAAACTACCTGCCAAGGTAAATTAATATGCTTTACTCAGCTAATATCTTTATTTAAATTAAACTAATCTGGATAAAGTAAATTAATAATATTGTAACACTTAAAAATTCATAATAGCCTTTCTTCAATGTCTAAATGGCATCTAGCATCGGTGATGCTGATGACCCACAGTGTTAACTGACCTGTCCCAGTGCGCTGTGTATGGGAGAGGGTGGTGGAGCACGATCTCCAGGGCGGCCCTCTCTCACTACCCCCGGCACTCTTTCCTGTTGCCCCCAGTCTCTTCTGGGTTCCTCCCTCCATGGAGTGACCCTGTCTGGACCTCTGGTGCTGTGTTGGCTCACACTCCTATCTGCATAGCTGGGCCTCTCAGCATGGTCCGCATCACCAACATGATGCCTACAGAGATATTGTCATTGAGTTTACAGACTGGGCCACATAACGCATCTGCTTCACATGTCATTAAATCAAAAATGGCACCCCTCTTACATACAGGTCATACCTGGCTGATTTCTTCTTTCTGCAGGACGGCACTCTCCGCTTGTCACTCCTCTCCTCCTTCTTCTGTAGTGTCTCCTTTTTTGTCCTCTCGGTTGTCCTCTGTTGAACTGCCCACTCTTCCTCCGTGATCTCAGACAAGGCGGGCGGTGGTGGAGAGGACTCATGTTTACTAGTGGGCTCCTCAGTGGAGGTGTCTGTGGAACTGACCTGGGCTTTGGGCTGCCTGAGGGTCCAGTCGGCCCCAGAGACCTCCCTCCTCTTTGGGCTCCTCTGGTGGCTGGGTGGAGGGGAGCGGGGCAGAGAGGTGCAGGGCAGGATGTCACAGAGGAGGTGCATGTGGGGTGGGACCGGGGCATCCGGCTGCAGCTTGGAGATGGTGGGGCTGGAGATGGGGAGGGAGGGGGCAGCTGCAGGGGGGAACGGTCCATAGGGGGCACTGGTCTCCTGGGGGGCTGGGGTGAAGGAGGGGGTAACTCTATGAGAGGAATAGGCAGGGAGGGGATTCCGCTGTACCTAACAAAGGAGAACAAATCAAAACATATGCTCTGTGATTAGCTACATACGTTGGACAATCCGACCACACAATGGCACACATTTAAAAACCTATTTTCAATAGCAGGTGTAGTAGACAGGGGGTTAAGTACCATGTGAGCCTGCCAGCTGACAGAGTGCTGATGAAGGGTGTGACCCTGCTGTGGGTGTGACTGGACACACTGACTGGCCTGCTCCATCTTCCTCCTCAGACGCCACTGAAACAGGATGTCCTCCTCTGGGCGTGTACGGGGGAGCAGGGGAACCAACCACGGATGGTTTGGGCACGGTGCCAGCATAGAGGTCTGCTGATCTTAGGTTCCCCATAACTTGAGGAAGCAGTTGCACAAGAAAAGTTATTGCAATACGTGTATTCAGATATAAAGTGAGAATAAAGAAAGTTGCAAAAGGAAACAAAAACATGACCATGAGAAATGAGGGACGTGGCAAAAGCACAGAATAACAGTGGCTCTAGGAGTTTGAAAAAGCAATATCATGTGGTT